ATTATAGTATTTGAATAGAACATGTGGCAACGATTAAATAATTCTATAAATGATATAAATTTTGTACATTCTGAGTTATAATATGAACGAAATATAATGTTGTTAAGTAAACCTAGCGCTAGAAAAGTTATGGTAAACAAAGTGAATTTTAAAGAATGCATTTATTCTCTTGTGGTTTATGCGCTGTCGGCGTAGTAGGTTTAATTCAATCTTATAAGTTTAAATAAAATGCAAGAAAAAATGCGTATAATTTAATATTCCGTACAAGGAAGTCATGTGGTGTAGACATCAGATTTTTTTAGTTTAGATTTCTAATGACCGGAATGGAGAAAAAAAGGTGAAGATTCTAGTTTTGCAATCTCGAATCATTTTCTAGATTCTTAGACTTCAAGGGTTTCAGTAATTTTAAACCTTTAGTTTAATTGTTCTGGAATTCTAAGAATTTGAAATATTCGGATTAATTGACACCGCAGCTTTTTGGATTTTCAAAAACTCTGGATAAAACAACCACTTTTTTAATACAATTTAATCATTTTTGTTTTTATTTACTTTAAGTATTTTCCGCTATTCAAGTGAGAGGATTTTATTGTTTCGTTTATCAAAGGTAATGCCTTGAAAAAGGTAAAATGTTTTTGTTTCTCTGAAGCAATATGCGACACTCAGCTTTTTCGATAAAATTAAATTATGAAACTGCTTTTGGTTTGTATAAAAACGCTATTTATTTCTGTCTGAACTTATTCAACCCAAACAGGACAATAATATTTGCTTAATTTAACTTCTTTTAAACTTAATTTTTAAAGATAGCGAAATTTAACGAAGATATTCTTTTTGCTATTGTAAACCAATTGCGTAACTTATTTCTGTTTAACTAAATTTAAATTAAGACATCATATTCCTATCGAAGTATAATAATAATAATGTTGTAATAATAAAAGTATTAATAATTTTATGGTCGTGAAGGAGAGGCCGATAAACTTGCATGAATATTTTGAACAATACTGCTAAAAGTGCAAAACTTATTCTCGGATTACATCGATGTTTTTCAGAAAAACATCGAAACTCATTCAAGAAAAATGTTACTTAACGTAGACTCTGTTGTATGAAATGAATTTGCCCCATCTTTGAACCCAATTATGGAATTGCCGTTGGAAAAATTCACCACTGTTCATCGACTTCTTTACAGCCCTTTTTTTGTCTGTTTACATCGGAATGTCTCTGTTTCTTTGTTATTGTTCACTATTACGAAGAACGGGAAGTCTGAAGGCACAATTCAGGTATATACATTGGCAGACAGACCACTGTCTACTCCAGTTTGCTGATCACACGAGTTATTGACAATGATGTGCATGATCGAAAGCATGCACTGTTAATTTATGATCAATGATCGCAGATTATTAATTATGGTCTGCGAAGGCGTGAATGTCTGGCAGATCTGATCAATGATCGCATAATGAATCTGATCAATGATCGCATAATGAATCTGATCAATGATCGCAGATTATTAATTATGGTCTGCGAAGGCTTGATGGAGTGTCGAATACTTTTATGTTCCTGAATGTACCGCTTATCGATCAAAGTATACGACGATCATGTTCCCAAAATTCAAAGAAAGCAACACCCTTGACATGCCCCCCCCCCAAAAAAAAAGAAAACAGCAAACACGATCCTCCAGTATTCACTGCTGGCTCTTGATCATTTGAGGTCTTGCAGAAGAGGGGTAATACCATTGTTTAGATTGATTCCTTCGTCTCGATTTCCATCTAAAGACAGTGGTAGATCTAAAGCTATCGACACCGGCGGCGAAGAGCTTCTGGAGCCCCCCCTTATTAGAATGGTCACCATACAAAATGTCAACACAAATATATAACGGATATGAATTTAATTAAAGTTAAATAATTAAAATTATTTGGAAAAAAAAATCTTAAGCTTAAAGAAAAAACAACTTGCATCTAGCAAACAAACAATAGTACATTTCAAAAAGCGTATTAATTGCCAGTTTTGAGGATTTAAAAAAATGTTTGAAACATTTCTGTGAATAAAAAAAGCTAAAACTTAAGACAGAAGAGAAACAAGCCAAAGTAAAATAAGGTGTATCAAAGCAACAACCATGTGTTAGACGTAGATTTTAATCAAGACTCTATCGATTTCGAGGGCAAACAGGTTCAGGTCTCTCTTCATTAGGAGCAAAGAATCTGCCAGAAGCCTGCCTCTTCATCAGGTGTAGATTGCTTTCCTCCTGATAAAGAAGGTACCTGTTTAACCTCGAAATTGATAGTCTTAATTAAAATCTACGATAGAGTCTTAGTTAAAATCTACGATAGAGTCTTAATTAAAATCTACGATAGAGTCTTAATTAAAATCTACGATAGAGACAAGGTTGTTGCTTCACTTAATTTAAAGCTAAAACTATTTTTTGCGAGATTCTGAGCCAAATTTTATAGCTTCATCAAAATTAGTGTTTCTTCACAATGAACTTTTAATGTTTTCAATGCAAACTGCTTTTTAGCTTCGCTGTTTTTTAGATTCCTATGTATATTTACATATACTTAAAATTAAAGTTTTTTCGGAGCCCTCGTCTTGATCAGAGGTCCGAGGCGGTCTGCCCTTGCGTAAAAGTGCACCCTATATTTTCGTTTCCACTCACAAAACTTGAAAATGTGCATTTTTATTGCTTGTAAAAACTACAGAAACTGATCAGATCAAATGACCTTTATATTCTCCATCGTATCGTTGTGTACACCTACATCATACATATTTTAGGATAATCTGAGTCTTTCACCATCTTTTAGTTCTGCGTTGTGACCATAATCCACTTGTGCAGATAGCCCATGGATTATCCGCCGAAATCGATTCGATCATCCAATTAAAGGTAAGGGCCTTTGTTTGCAGCTAATGAGCTTCCTCTGTGTGATTTTTCCTTCCGTTTAAAATTTAACTCATTTGAACTTCATCCAGCTGTACCCATTGTTGCTATATTTGTAAACAAACTGTATAACCTTCTGTGAATGTTGAATAGATTGTATCATTTTTTTTTTATCAAGAACTCAGTGGTGGCATACTGTTTGTACTTCGTAACCATTATTTACTTGAAAAAAAAGGGGGGGAAGGGGAAAAAAAAAGAAAAAAGAAAATTGCTATTATATGCTTATGTGAGGAAAAAAATCAATCCAACAAGACGTCGAGTTTGGAAGATATTGCCAGCTAAATGTGTATATATTAGTGTGTCAGTTCAATCAAAACGTCAGGCCACTTGTATTTTTCTCTACTGTAAAGTACTCACAGTTTCGTAAATAAAAAGTCAATTGATCAATCTGTAGAGTATTAATAAGTTAATTAACCTATTTGTTGTCTGAACTATATTATCAATTCTGCTTTTGTCAGTTCTTACCAGGATGTAAATAATTTTCGTAAATCAAAAGCCAATTAATCAAACTGTATAGTATTGAAGTTAAATAACCTACAACCTTTTGTTTGAACTGTACTTTCAATTCTACTTGTGTTAGTTCTTACCAGGATGTAAATAAATGCGTGTATATAAAAACAAAATTTTTGTAAATTAGAGAAATCTTTCATAACGACGCTGACGGTTCTGATAGTTCGTTCGTCCAGGTCTGACGCTTGTGTTACACAACGTTAGCCTTTTTGATATCCGAATTTATTCGTTCACTTGGTTAAAAATTAACCGACTTCGCACTTGCACTGTGTAGCAACTTGCACTGTACAACATGCACTGAAATAACTTAGCAACTTGCACTGTGAATCTTCAGAATTAATTTTTGCGCTGAAATAACTGAGCAACTTGCACTGTGAATCTCCAGTATTAATTTTTGCACTGAAATAACTGAACGACTTGCACTGTGAATTTCCAGTATTAATTTTTGCACCGAAATAACTTAGCAACTTGCCCCGTGAATCTCCAGTATTAATTTTACTGTAATTCATTTTTTGTGTTATAGGAAATCCTGCAAGCAAGTTGCAAAGATTTAAGTTGTAAGCACATCTGTTCAGGTTAAAGTTTTTTAAAAGGTTGTTTAAACTTTTTCTGAATTTGTAGTTACTTTCACAGATGGGACTGTAAATCGCCTGGGAGTCAGGGTTCAGGAGATTTAAGTTAATTAAGGAGTCAAATCATACAAAATGCTGTGAAATTTTTAGGATTCGTTGCTAATAATATTCATTAGAGTTTGTTCCGAGTTTTTATAAACTTTCTAAAAATACTTTTCTAAAGTAATAGAAAATAAAAGTATTCCATAGCGTAAAACCTGCAGAATTAATTAAATTAAAAATAGAGTTAGAAAAAAGTATTAGAATAAGAATTCAATCCAAGATAATGTTTGTTAATGAACCTTAAAAATGAAGTAATGAACAGGTATTTAAAATTAAGAGTTTTTTCATTTCAAAATGGATCGATTTACATTTTACTAATTTATATTAAAAAGCTGACTTTTTGTACAAATAAAGAAAGTATTTTTCATCATAATTTTTTTTTCTTTTTAAGTTGAAATAAAAATTTTCAATATCATAAAAATAAAATATAATAATAACGAAGGAGTGCTACTTTAAAGACCGGTATAATTTTTCGTCGTCAAGGGGCGCCAAACTGATGTTACGACATTTTAGAATTAAATGTTTTCCATCCTTGGCAAGCAGTAGGGGGCGCGAAATCTTCAGTTGTCCCTGGGCGCTGAAAACCCTACCTACGACTCTGATATTAAACCAAAATATGTACGCAACTTTAACTCCCTCATAAGAAATACTTCATGTAACATGAATTATGTAAAAGAGAATTGTGGTCCAAATAGCTCATATAACAAGAGAAACCCACGTCGCATAGCCGCAAATGAGACGGCACAGGAAAACCACGCATTTCTGTTCCGATATCATCTCTCATTACACTGTAAAAGTGTTTACCCTCATTGCACTGTAGTTAACTTTTCACCTCTGCCCATTTAAGAAGGGAAAATTAAATCTCTTTTTTTTCTTTTCTTTTTTTCTTGTAGAGTTCCGGACAAAGGACAGAGGCGCCGCTTGCCGGGTGCTATAATCATTGGGGTGAAGAAAGGCGGGACAAGGGCACTGCTGGAGATGTTGAGGTTGCACCCCGAAGTGGTGGCCCCAGGCCCTGAAATACACTTCTTCGACAGACACTATGAAAAGGGCCTCCACTGGTACAGGTAAGTGTGACAGCTCTTGTTCCGTTGATGTCTCGGTTCCTTGAAGCTCTTTGCTTCTTTGTCCAATTCACAGTATGTAGTACCTGCATTCAGCAAAGGCATTTTACGTTTTGTTCCGAGATTCTTTGGTGTTTTATTAACAGACAGAACTATATTTATCTATGTTGGGAAAAATATTCTCTTCTCCTTCGAAAGAGGAAGGTAGCAAGCTGTAGTAGCTGTACCTTTTCCTGCTTAACCCTTATAACATGAATACTGAAATATGATTTATATTTTAAGAATGTTCATTTCGTAACATTAACATCTGATGTTCAAAGAAGCAAAAATTGACAAAAACTGATGCAACGTAGGTAGATATATAATACTATCAGAGATGTATTTACGATTTTCCCGCTCCTACACTGGGCTAAAGATTTTCTTCCATCCCTAAAAGCTAATATTTTCAGCTTTGTTTATCGATTTATATTTACGAGTGTTACTTAGGGTAATTGTAAATCAGAATATGATTTCTAAATATTGATTTTCATTTAAATATGAACGAATTACATATGCATTTATGATTTATAATGTAAAATTATAAAAGTGCAACAAATTATTGGGGAGGGGGGAAGCAAAAGTCGAAAAAGCATTATGAAAGACAAGAAAACAGAATTCGATACCTTCTGATAATTAATGTGCTTATCATTATTTATAAATTATTTTATTTTAAAAGAGGAAGTAATTAATTATTTTATAATTTTGCCTCGTGATTTGACAAATCGTTTAATTATGTCATCAAAAGATATGAGCACGTAACGTTTTACCGTTAAAATTGCTAAGTCTTTTGTTTTACCGCATTGTAATCTTACTACTTACCGTGCTTTTAATAAACTGAATAAATACCGTGCTTTTATATACCGTGCTTTTAATAAACTGAAGACAAGAAATAAATCATTCAGCTGTAGAGTTTGTAATTGCGATACATTCAAGTATTCTGAATGCGGTATCATGCATAGATATCGGTAATGCCAATTGTTATTCTGCTAATGTAAATAATGATAGATATTAGAATACTAATGATGATAATATTAGAATACTATATATATGATAATATTAGAATACCTCTATGACTATAGAATACTATCTGATAAAATAGATCTCCTAAGATTTTCTCCTCCTGCCCTCCGATTCGCCTATTTATCTTCGCCTCCTCTCTCCTGCTCTCTTGATGATCATACTGTTGCTATCTCTATGATTATCCTATATAGCTATCCTATTAGATATCTCGATGCTCCTATTTTATAACTAATGAATATATTATACTATATGTGATAATTTCCCTATTCTATAGATGATAATCTTAGCCTCCTTATATCATGATTATTTAGCCTCTTATAAATATTAATCCTCTATAGATGATAATAGAATACTTATATAGATGTATAGCCTCCTTCTATCCTGCTCCCTATAGAAATGATAATATTAGAATCTCTATAGATGGATAATTTAGAATACTTATATAGATGATATATTAATACTTATATATATTGATCTTAGAATCTAATATCCTGATAATATTAGAATACTTATATAGATGATAATATTATCATCTATATAGATGATAATATTAGAATACTATATAGAGGATAATATTAGAATACTATTATATTATAGTAGAATTATACTAGCTAAATTAAGTCCTTGAGAGCTAAATTATTGAAGAACTGTGCAGTGACTATTCGCTGAGTTCTTATAAATAAGAAGTCCAAAGTCTTCTCGGCCTAACTAAGATAGAAAATAAGCAACTTATCTAATACTAAGTAAGAAAACCAATCGAAACTGCACATTATTAACTAACAGAGTTAGCCCTTATTTCAGATCACCAACGTATACTAACAGGCACATAACACTATGGCCGAATAACACTATGGTTAGACTAACAGCAACAACATGATCAGAAGGCAGAACACGGTGTTCTAGTGAAGTGACCCAAACTTCAGCTTAAATACTGGTTTCTACCTCATGTACATAAAACGTAATTCTGAAAACTCATTCTGGCAGGAAGACGTAGGAGGAAAATGAGAAAGTAAAAGAAAGGCTTGTTGCAAAATAAAAATAACTATTAGAAAATTGAAATAAATCCTACAATATAAATAATCTACCACATCCATCGTTTTTAAAATGTAACTCAGAAGGAAATTTTTGTTTAATCTTAGAATTTCACTTATTTCAGAAACTACGGTACATCGTCATTTTTCCTTTTCGTCAAATACGTTTCTTATATTTTGTAAGAAATCAATGAAAAATTAATATAATTTCGCTTTTGTAGATAGTGATTTTAAGTGCATTTTATTGCGAGAAATGATTTGCATTTCTTATTCATTACAAACGCAACATTTTGATGATGTTTAGTGTAAATCTTCATATAAGTAGTTCGAATTGTTATTACCAATCGAACGTATAGCATCTCTTTCTCCAGTTTATTTTTATTAAAATTTTAATCACATAGCTACTTTTTTAGTTTTTCTGAACCACAACGAAAGCAAATGTAATTACAAATGCATTTTGTCGACTATGGCGGAAGTTCTCAAAATTTTTAAAATTTTGCACTACAAAAATAAGAATAAAAAATATATAAACCATCAAGCACCAAATTCTGTACCAAAACGGGGGCCATTTACATTCATTATGAACATCTCCTATTTAAATCTTTCATGTAAACGTGTACCCCCAAAAGTAATGTCCTGTACCATTACTGATACATACCATCATTTGAGAAACTCTGCACTATGGTATCCGAATTTTCAGATAGAAAGGGGAAAAAAAAAGATGTTGGGATCAGAGAAAATGCATAGCTCACCAAGTTCCAATTAAAAAATAAATTTATATTTGCAATTTTGTTCTGCTAATATAAATAATGATATTATATTAGAATTATACTAGCTAAATTAGAAGTCACTGGGAGCATTGGAACATTGAAGCGATTATTCGCCGAGTTCTCATAAATAAGAAGTCCAAAGAAGGGCTAAATTTACCCTTTATTCCAACTCAAAATAAGTTAACAGGTGGCCCTCTTCTCGGGCTTACAATAAGCCTCCACTTGGGCTTTAACTAAGATAGAAAATAAACAACTAATCTAACATTAAGTAAAAAAACCCAGCCGAAGCTACACATTATTAACTAACAGAGCTGTCCCTTATTTCAGATCACCAGAGTATACTAGCAGGCACGTAACAATAATGCACGTAACACGTAACAATATGGCACGTAACACGTAACAAAATTTCATATACTATGCCATTTTTATGATTGTTTTGGGAAACAGGGATTACAAGTTTACTGGGCTAAGCAGGAAGTTAAAATGGAAGTTGTTACAGGCCAATTACATAGTCAGACACCATCGTAGAAGTCATTATCGTACGTGTCAATACAGAAGACCAGTAATAATTATAAATCTTAAAAGAAGCAATATTCTCGGGAACGCATTTAATTAACAGGAGCTTTTTCCCATGCCATTAAAGTGCTATGGCATGGGAATTAAAGTGCTATAGCAGTGATATATTTTCCTTGGTTTCTTCCTTGTGTTTGGATAGTCTATATGTACTGAGAATTTGTTGCAGTATTCGATTCACTGCACGACACGATGTCGGAATTTTAGGACGTGAAAACATCGGACGAGGTGCCGCTAACATCGCTGATTAAGTGCTTTATGGTATCAGTTCATTGAACGACCTCTCAGTTCGTGGTACCCGACCAAGATCCGGCCATACGGTTAGCATCTGTCGTCGTAAGGCAGATTACACACTCGCCATCGCGATATTAAATTTAGCAGAAGAAAAAGAAATGGCGAAGTTTGCTATTGCTGATGTTAATCATCCACGAGATGAGATTCTTGATTAGGAGCGGGAAGCAATTACTCAACAGGATAGTTTTATCACTCAACTAATGGACAGACGAGCGGTATTTATTATTAGGACATTACATGATTGATTTCAAGAAGATTCTACGTTCGCCGACCACCATATCTTTTAGAGCTGTGCCTTTTTTTAAATTGCAGCGTTTAATCACGCCAGATATCCTCAAATGTGAGTAATAGCACTTGTGGCTATTATTTTATCTTTTTTTGAAATCTATAATAAATAAACATGATTTGAAAGATCTGGCAGCGCTGCTAGCTGCCTTTTGTTCTTTTATAATATGTTTATAGGGGTGGACAGAGGGGGGGGATGTGGCAAATTTAATGGTCGCTGTCATAAATAAAGAAAACAAATCAATCGAGTGGGATCAAGTGGACAGCTTTGGCCTGCTAGTCACTCAGATTTCCTGTAATAATAAAATGTTTATGTAGCACACTTCTGTTCTTAAATGCACTTCTACTTAGTTCATTAATTTGCCTGATGGAAATAAAGTTTTATAGTATAAGCGTGCAAAGATGGTGTTATCTTGTCCTTGGTATATTTAATTATGGCAAAGCACACTAGGGGTATCTGCCTAAGAGGAGGGATGCCCTCGTGGAGGACTTTCTAAGGGAAACTGGCTTGTATACACGTTACACATGGGGAAAACCACGAAAACACCCATGCAGCCAGGCCGTTCGCGGGGATCGAACCTCGGACCGAACTACCGGTGTTCAGCGACTTTACCGCTCGGCCGCTGGTGGGCCTTATCTTGTCCTTGAATTTCATGGAAGAATGGTTGCCAGAGCCTCAAGGAAGTTCGACTTCTATTTCCATACCGCCCACCAGCGGCCGAGCGGTAACGTCACTGAACACTGGTAGTTCGGTCCGAGACCCGCGAACGGGCTGGCTGCATGAGTGTTTCGTGGTTTTCCCCATGTGTAACATGTATACGAGCCAGTTTCCCTTAAAAAGTCCTTCACGAAGGCATCCCTCCTTTAAAGCAGATAGCCCTCGAGTGCTTTGCCGTAATCTAATAAACCAAACCAACTATTTCCATGCCACTTGAGGGAGAGCATCCCGAGAGGGGGGAGTTCGAGGGTCTTCCACTTCTCTCCCCTACCA